TCGCGCAGGCGTTCAAGGCTGAGCGCCGCCAGTGGATTGGAATCGGCCGACCTTCAAAACGACCCCCGTCGTCCGAGGGCCCCGAGCGTGCACGCTTGAACGACCCCACGCGGGTTCAGAACTCGACAGCCACGCCACCGCGACGCGAACCTGCCGCACAGCAACCCTGACCGCCAGGAGATGGAGCCAGGGTTCATGGCTCTTGCCCTGCCCATGTCCATGCCCTTGCTGGTCACGTTGCTGCTGCAAGGGCCGGTTGCCGTAGCATCGGGAGGAACAGCATCACGACCACGAGGAGGCTGTGCGGCTGCTTCACCGGCAGCTCGTCCGAGAAACCATTCTGCTTCAACGCGCTCTCGGCGCTCTAGGCGGGCGCGCGCAGCAGGATCTCCTTCTGGAGCATCGGCCGCACGGCGCCATGATGTCTCCAAGCGCTCACGGCGAGCACGCGCGGCATGGTCTTCTGCGGGAGTGGGGGCCGCATCTTGGTCAACAGGATCAGGCACGTGAGCTGCACAAATGGGAGCGGTGTGCTCCTGAACCGTGTCGTCGACGTTCATACCTCGGTCCTGGCATTAAGTCGGGCGTGTCCCTCTACAGGAGGAATATTCAAAAATAGTAAAAATAGTAGGGGGACGTTTTGTTTCACTATTTCTTGGCTATTTGTGTTTTTTTTTTTTTTTTTTTTTTTTTTTTTTTTTTTTTTTTTTTTTTTTTTTTTTTTTTTGTTTTTTTTTGTTTTCGTTTTCTTTATATGTCCGTAAGGGCTTCGCCCCTTGCCGCCGGCCCCCTCTCTCGGAGAATGGGCCATGGAAGAGCTAAGTCATGAGGCCTTGGCGCTGTCGTGAAGCAGTATCGAAACTTCATGCGAAGCCGAGTCGCAATCAGCAAAACCAACTGATCACAAGAGGGGTTACCACACCTGGCGATTGGTAAGACGTGTATGGTTTAAGGGCTTGGTTACCACACCTTGCGATGAAAGGGCCGAGGGAGTTCTCGCAGTTTGGGTTACCACGCCTTGCGATGGATGTGCGTGATGGGTTCGAATTTCAGAAATGTGGCAAATCCCTGTGTTTTTGGACCCTGACCCCGCGGATCTGCGTGAGGGGTGGCACCGAATTTCAGAAATGTGGCAAATCCCCTGTGTTTTTGGACCCTGACCCCGCGGATCTGCGTGAGGGGTGGCACCGAATTTCAGAAATGTGGCAAATCCCTGTGTTTTTGGACCCTGACCCCGCGGATCTGCGTGAGGGGTGGCACCGAATTTCAGAAATGTGGCAAATCCCTTGTGTTTTTGGACCCTGACCCCGCGGATCTGCGTGAGGGGTGGCACCGAATTTCAGAAATGTGGCAAATCCCTGTGTTTTTGGACCCTGACCCCGCGGATCTGCGTGAGGGGTGGCACCGAATTTCAGAAATGTGGCAAATCCCTTGTGTTTTTGGACCCTGACCCCGCGGATCTGCGTGAGGGGTGGCACCGAATTTCAGAAATGTGGCAAATCCCTGTGTTTTTGGACCCTGACCCCGCGGATCTGCGTGAGGGGTGGCACCGAATTTCAGAAATGTGGCAAATCCCTTGTGTTTTTGGACCCTGACCCCGCGGATCTGCGTGAGGGGTGGCACCGAATTTCAGAAATGTGGCAAATCCCATGTGTTTTTGGACCCTGACCCCGCGGATCTGCGTGAGGGGTGTCGATTTCGAGCCCCCCCAGTAATTCAGACAACGCGCCCAGGGGACGCTGGAAAATCCTGTTTGGGCCTCCCCCCCCCTCGCGCGGTCAATCAACTAGTTACAGTAACCAGCAAGAAGTCAACTAGTTACAGTAACCAGCAAGAAGCAGAACTGTAACACTGGAAACTAGAAACTACAACTGGTACAGGAAACTGCGAATCACGCGCCTCGCAGCCTGGTGGCCCCACAAGGGGGCCGGCGGATACTTATATTTATCATATATATATATATATATATTTCGTCCAAAATCCGCCTGTACGGGGATATGCTCTACCCCATCCTGGCACCGGGCACCAGCATCTGCAGCCTCAGGAGCAGGATATCCACCTCCGCCAGGACGAGCAGCAGGGAGCACGGTCCTTCTCAAGCGCTGCCCCCCGGCGCGGTGCCGAAGGCCCGCGGCAAGGCCTGGGCGGCCCACGCCTGGGCCCCGCCCGCGTGCGCTCGGCGTGCAGCCGCCGTGCGGCGGGGCCGCGAACAGCGCCGCGGAGGTTCCGTGGCGCAGAGGGAAGTCGGAGGGCTGATAGTGATGACGGTGATGATTCTGATGATGATGATGATGATGATGATGATGATGATGATGATGATGATGATGATGCTGATGCTGATGATGATGATGATGATGATGATGATGATGATGATGATGATGATGATGATGATGATGCTGATGATGGTAGTGGTGGTGGTGGTGGTGGTGATGGTGGTGGTGGTGGTGATGGTGCTGGTGGTGGTGATGGTGGTGGTGGTGGTGATGGTGCTGGTGGTGGTGATGGTAGTGGTGGTGGTGGTGATGATGATGAGGATGATGATGGTGGTGGTGGTGAGGAGGAGGAGGAGGAGGAGGAGGAGAGGGACGAGGAGGAGGAGGAGGAGAAGGACACGCAGGAGGAGGAAATGGATCAGGAGGAGGACGCGGAGTATATGGATGATGTGGAGGGAATTCATAAAGAGGAAATTGAGGATGGGGAGGATGATGTTTAGGAGGATAAGGAGGAGGAGGAGGCGGAGGAGGAAGAGGAGGTGGAGGTGGAGGAGAGGAGGAGGAGGAGACCTCTGGAGGCCCGAATTGGATCAATACTGTGAAAACCAGTCCTCGAAGATAAGGAGGAGGAGGAAGAAGGAGGCACATGTGAGAGGAGGATGAAGTGGAGGAGGAGAAGGAGGAGGCGGGAGGGAGGGAGGGGGAGGGGGAGGGATGAGGACCAAGCGCGAGAAGGAGGAGGACGCGGAGGTGGGTGAAAAGGAGGGGTGGGAAGGAGGCAAGCTGGGAGGGAGTGGATGATGATGGGGAGGAGGGTGATGACCCGTGCAAGCCCAAGACGCCCTCCCTCCAAGTTCCTTCTGCATGAGTCCCTAGAACGTTATATGTTCATTGCGGGAAGTGCCCCACTGGAAGACGATCTCTCGAGACTCCGCAACCGTGCCAACATGTAATCGTTGGGACTTCAAGCCGGGAGTCAACGTGCCCGTTGCGTCCTGGCAGTCCCAAATCGTGCCAGAACACCATTGACAGGACCTCAGCACCGCGAAACAACGTGATTGTTGCGTCCTCACAATCCCAAGCCATTCCAGAACACCATTCCTGGGACTTCAGCCATACGAATCCTGGTAACGCTTGCAAGCTTTCAAGACGAAGGTGCGCGGCGATAAGGCGGGAATCAAATGGTGTACAGGGACCGCCCTCTTTCCCTGACACTGTTGCAATGTTCGAAGACGAGTGTGCGCGGCGTCAGGGCGAAAACAACATTTCGAACACATGCCGTCCTACAGTAGGGGCCCATGCCAAGAAACACCCTGCTTGCCTCCAGGGTGCCCTGAGTTTCTTGGGGTTCGATGGTTTTCCGATGGTTTTGCGATGGAGAGCGTGACGTTCCCACACCGAACATCAATAGACGTCCTGGGGTCTCAGGGTTGGGTTTCTTGTTGACTATTTCTTCTGGTCGGGCCCCTACTGTACATCCTTGACGCTGTTGCAGACTTTAGAGACGAATGTCTTGACTGTTGCAGCCCTGCCGACGTCTTGGGGTGCGACAGGGAGGAGTTATTTACAAGGGATGAGGATGGGGATGCATGAGGATGGGATGAGGATGAGGATGGGATGGGGATGAGGATGGGGACGGATCGAGGATGCGGATGAGGATGGAGATGGTGATGCTGATACTGATGCTGATGGTGAAGTTACTGCTGCTGATGATGGTAAAGGACGGTGCTGATGATACTGATGTTGATAATGACCACGGGTGGTGATGATAGGCTTTTTGGATGATCATGATGCTGTTGCTGTTGCTGACTACGAGGACGATGCCGATGACGATGCCGATGCCGATGACGACGACGATGCTGATGCTGCTGCTGATGATTACGATGGCGAAGATGAAGATGATGATGATGATGATGATGATGATGCTGATGCTGCTGATGATGATGTTGATGATGATAATGCTGATGATGCTGCTGCTGCTGCTGCTGCTGATGATGATGATGATGTGGATGATGGTGACGGTGATGTTGATGTTGATGATGACGATGACGAGGACTAGGACGAGGATGACGATGACGATGCCGATGACGACGAAGACGATGATGATGACGATGATGATACTGACGCCGATGATGATTATGATACTGATGATGCTGATGATGAGGATTCTGATTCGCTGATGGTTGTGATGATGCTGCTGCTGCTGAGCATGATCATGTTGATTATGAATGTGCAGATGATGATGCTGATGGTGATGATGGTGCTGATGATGCCCATGATATGATTATAAGGGTGATGATGATGTGGCGAGGAGCAGCAGGATGCGGGGAAGGGAAACAAGGGTAGTATGAGGACGAGGGAGGACGACGATTGGGAGAGGAGGAGGAAGATGATGCTGATGCTGATGCTGATGATGCTGCGGATGATGAAGAAGATAATAATAATGATCATAAAAAGAAGATGACGATGATGGTGGTGGTGGTGACGATGATGATGATGATGATGATGATGATGATGATGATGATGATGATGATGATGATGATGATGCTGATGATGCTGATGATGCTGCTGATGATGATGATGATGATGATGATGATGATGATTATGATGATGATGATGATGATGAGGAGGAGGAGGAGGAGGAGGAGGAGGAGGAGGAGGAGGAGAGGGAGGTTGAGAACGAGGACGAGGAGGGGTTGTTGGGGAGAGGATCCAGGAGGTGGCTGAGAGGCTCGGGCGGGTTCCAGGGGGTCCTGGGCGGGAGAGATCCGGGCCCGCCTCTCCCAGGGAGTTACAGCGCGTGGCTCACCAAGGCGCGCCCTCTCTCGCGGCCAGGGGGGACTCCGCCGCTTGCCCGCCCTCCCTCCCTCCATCTCCCCTTCCTCCATCTTCTCCTCTTCCTCCCCTGCCCTTCTCCTCGCGATCGAGATTGGATTTCGGCCTCGCTAGTAGTTTCTCTCATGGAGGCCAGGTGCAGGGCTGTGGCGAAGACGGACGCCGCCTCCCGCGCCCTCCTGCGGTAGTCGGGCTAGCAGGAGATCCGCGGTCCCCCTCGGTGCGGTTTCCTTCCCGACTTTCTTGTCTGCGATGTGCGGACTCGAATCATGATATTGTGACCTCTGCCCCTACCCTCCTCCTCTTTCTCCTCCTCCTCCTGCTCCTCCTCCTCCTCCTCCTCCTCCTCCTCATCATCATCATCATCATCATCATCATCATCATCACCATCATCATCATATTTCGTGCGAAATTTCAGCATGTGCCGCATTTTTTTCCAGATTTTCTGAGTTATTGAGTGTGACCTTGCAGAAGGCGGCAAAATGAAGTGACAGGCGAGCCGGCGCGAGGTGAAGTCAACAAGAGCAGGGGCCATGCATATCCGAGCGCGTTTGGCGCGGGGGAAGGCATCTGTCTTGGCGCAGGGAGCGCCGATCGCACTAGCGAGGGCATCTCGGAGTGCATGGTGCCCCCCCTCTCTTCTCTTCCTCGGTCCTTTCATTTGTAGGATACAGTTAAATGTGGCTCGCGAATTAAAGAGTGGCTCAGGGAACCTTCCTTTTTTGTGCAGGCCCGCTCGCACTCGCAATTGGCAGCGCAGTGCCATCGGTGCCGCACCCCTTGGTTTCATCGGAGAGCTACCGACCCGTAATACAGGGCTCCTTGCGAAGGGGCCGCACGCTCGCCTGTGGTGGAGGAGGGGGGAGGTGAGGGCTTGGGGTGAGGAGGGCAGCGTGCGCGCCTCTGCGCAGGCTTTGGCAGTTCCCTCGACAAGATCTCTAAGGGCTGTCGAGTCCTTGCTGCATCACACCCACGCAAAGGGAATTACGCATACCTCAACACTGCACTTTTGCGGGCGCATTGACGTTGACCCCGTCATGCGGATGCCCTGTCCTGTCCTGCCCTCTTCCTCCTCCTCCTCCTTCCCCTCATCCTCCTCATCGTCGTCATCATCGTTATTGTCATCCACCTCTTCCGCCTGCCATCTTCCGCGAGGGCGGAGGCTCGGGGCTTCTGACGGTTGTTGTTCCTGCGTGGGCGTCCGAATACTTATTCGTTTTTTTGCTCCTCGCTGCGCTCGTAGGATTCGGAACGCTCGTAAGTCGCAGGAGGGAAACGACGCGGCGCGTCGGGCCAGTCCGAATTAGTTTGAAGTTGGGGAAAAGAAAAAGTGAACGCAGTGGAACAAACGCGTGGCAATTCGGCGGAAGCTTCTTGGATGCGTGTGCTGGTTAGGGAAGCTTTTGGGGCGACTATTGGAGGAGTGCCGGGGTCTCTTGGGATGCGTCTCGGCAAGCTCGTGGAACTTTTGTCGAGGCGTTTGGGGCCTTTTGTTGGGGTCCTCTTTGAGGGTTCTTGGGGCATTTGGGGGGCGCCTGGGGGCCCTCTGGGGGGCGCCTGGGGGCCATCTTTGCGGAAAAGGCTCGCAATCTCTGCTTGTGTATTCCCTCTCTCGGGCTCATCTTGGGGCTCTCTCGGGCCGCCTTGTGAACCCCTGGGGCCGCATGCGCTGCTGGCGGAGAGTCCACGTTGCACGCTGTGCAGACTGCTCGCGGATGGTGTTGCTGGTCCGTGGGCAGTTTCTCGTTATTTGCACAAAGGGGCAGGCGCAATCGACGGAGGACAAGCGTAGCATCCCCGAGGAGGCGTCCATGGTGACGGGGATGCGCTTGGGCCGTCATTTTCATCGCTGAAGGCTGGCCACCCTCGTGAGAATTCAGCGAAGACTCGAGCCCGGAGCTCTCGGAACGTCGTGTTTCTTCCGAAACCATGTTGCTGGGGAGGGGCACCGTGAACAGAAGTTGACAGTGCGTGGGGCGCGGCGTGGCCTCGTGGAAGGTGCGATACGCTGGGTCAACGCGAGCTGCTCGCTTTCGATGCGGTTCGGCTGCCAGCGACTTTGACTGACCACCGATGCAACCTCGTGCGGATCGTTGCCGCGCGTGGCGGCCACGCAGACGTGTGGGAGGAGGCGATGTACGACGGGGTCCGCCTGCAGGCCGAGGGGATCAGGACACGCCCAACGGTGTGGACGGGCGGCTGCAACTCCGACACAAGGGGCCCGCTCGACACGGATATTGGTGTGGCGAGGCAGCGCTGGGGGTCCTCTGGCTTCGTTTTCGCCTGCCCCGGGGACGAGGCGGCAGTGGCCTGAGCACCCAGGGGGGGGTGGTGGTGGGGCGCGGCGGGGGAGCCTCGCTGGTTCGACTGCGCCTTCTGCGCGCCAGGCTCTGTCAAGCGGCACGTTTACGATTTGGGAGGGCGCAGCGGGCGACCGCGCGATGACGGCCCTGGAGGCTGCGACGGCTCGCCCAGGGCACCAACCACGCCCTGAGACGGTGTGGTCTGTTTCCGACGCCAGCCTGGTCGCCCATGAAGAGGAGACGCTGCGCTTCGCGTCGGACGCGGAGGGCACCGCCGGCCGGGTGATGACCCGCATCACGGAAGCCATGGCGCGCTTCGCAGGGGAGTCGACAGCTTGACGGAGGCGGCGCAAGTGCGAGCCGTTGGAGATCAAGACGCTGCGGGGGCGAATCCGGGACTGCACATCATGTGGTTCCCCAGTGGACCCCAGGGAGAGGGGCTTCTTTGGGACGGGCGATGCCGACGTCTCAAGCCCGTTCGGTGTCGCCCACAGGGTCGCCGCGCGACGTTCTCGCTCGCCCTTTGCCGAGTCTCAAAGGCAGCGCCGCGGTCTCAGAAGTCCCTTCCGCGGGCGTCCCTGGAGGAAACGTATTCGTGCACGGGCCCGCGGCGCGGGGCCCGGTTGGCTGGCGTTCTTCGCGAACGTCATCGCCGGTGGATCTCCGGGAGCGCGCGAGGCGGCGGCAGGGGGGGCGCTCGGCCCTCCGAGAGTGGGCTTGCCAGGCGTCCTGCGGCGATGTTCCCGATTGCGGGTCAGTCGGGCCTGTCCCTCTACAGGAGGAATATTCGAGCATCGTTTTTTTTTTTTTTTGTGTATACTTAATCCTTTGGGGTATATATTGGATATTTTCCTGGTATTTTCATTTTTTGTCCAGAATCCACCTGTAGGAGGATATGCCCGAGCTAAGATTGCGGCGATGAAGATCGAGGGGCTCGACCAGGTCGACCACGGCGACTGGGCCAAGGCGGGGCGCGGCGAGATGGAGAGGCGCCAGGGCGAGAACTCGCGCCAGGCCAGGCGCTGACGCGAGGCGATCGACATCCGGGGGCCTCTGCGGGGCGTCCAGCCGATTTCCGAGGAGGAGGAGGTGGGGGAGGCCGTGCTGGAGGTGACATCGAAGCGGCAGGTCCTTGACCGCGATGGTTTCTGTTCTCTGGCGGCTCGGGCTGCCAGCCGGGCCGCGGCCCAATGCCTCGCGCGCCTGCTGTGCCTCGACGCCGACTGGGAGGGCGTCGCCATCCAGGGGTACGCGAAGAGCAAGGCAAAGGGCGTGACAACGGTCGAGAAACTCCGGGTCATCCTGCCCCAGCCTACTCTGCTCGGCCTGGCCATCATCGCCTCGCTGGTCATGGCTGGCCGCGTGGTGCAGATCGGACGCGCTTATTTCAGTGCGTGCAGTGCAGGCCAGTCCACAAGGAACCTTCCACAAGAAACGCCATCCTGAGACCCCAGGGCGTCCACTAATTTTTTGCGTGGGAACGTCACGCTTTCCATCGCAAAACCACCGAAACCCGAGACACCCAAAGCACCCTGGAGGCAGGCAGGGTGTTTCTTGGCATGGGTCTCCACTGTAGGCTGGGCCGGCAGTGCCTTCACTCTTGGCAGGGACGTTTGGGAGTCCGGCGTTCCGCCTGGGGGAGATGGGCTTCGAGGTCCCCCTTCTGCCCCCCTCCTCCTCCTCCTCCTCCTCCTCCTCCTCCTCCTCCTCCTCCTCCTCCTCCTCCTCCTCCTCCTCCTCCTCCTCCTCCTCCTCCTCCTCCCCTCGCCCTTCCCCCCTCCTCCTGCCCCGAGAGATTCTTCAGACGGGGCAGCGGCCTCGCGGGCCCTGGAAGCTGGACACGGCGGGGGCCGAGTGGGACGTCGAGGACGAGATTGCCGCGCTCGGCCGCAGCGTCTCGGGCAGCGGCTCGACGGCGAGCGGCGAGGCCACAGCGATGTGCGCCCTGGGCGCTTTCTGGTACGGCCGCCGCCGGGTGCTGTGCTTGACGGATGAACCAGTGGGAGCGCGCGTGCGTTGGTGGGGCCGCCGTGCACGCATCATTCTGCAGTTCTACGTCGGCCAGTAGGTCCTCAAGAAGACTTTGGTCGGCGGCGTGGACGCGGCGCAGAAGAGAATGGTCGGCAGGATCACGGCACTGCCCAGGGGCGAGGGTGAAGAGACCTCGCGATGGTGCTCTCAGCGGGCTCATGCGGGGCAACCTCGCATCGGGGAGCGCTGGGGCGACATGACACTGAAGAGCGCCATCAACTGGAAGCGCCACTCCGAGAGGCGCGGACACCTCCCCGCCGCCGAGGCGATTCGCAGCCAGGGTCCCGAGAGGCTCAGTGGACCGCTGGGCGCGTTTCGGCTTGGGCCACGCGCGGGCGCGCTCCACGTGTGGGGCTCCGGAGCGGTGGAGCGGAGCGCGGTGGGCAGGGGTTCCGGCACCTCCTGCGCGGCGGCAGGCTACAGCGGCCGAAGTAGCCGCAGGCTGAGACCACTCGTAAGCCATTTTGGTTCTGTCTCTCCTCCCTTCTTCCTTCCTTGCCTGCGTTCCCCCCCTCGTCTCGCCCTTCCTCGTCCCGACTTCTTTGTGGAGCAGTTTTGGGGGATGCCAGCCCGTCGGCTTTGGTTTCTGTGGAGGGGAATGCCGGCAGTGTATTCGTGTCCCCACAGGCTCCATTGCCAGTCGGTCGCTTTAACGTAGCGCAGTGAAGTGGTGTTCGGGTCGAATGGTGGTGAAGGCTTTGTTAGCTTAAGTTATACGGTGCTTATTGAATCAGCCATGATATATATATATATATATATATATATAGAGAGGAAACAAGCAATAGAGAGAGAGAGAGGGAAAGCGAGAGAGAGAGAGAGAGAGAGAGAAAGAGAAAGGAGGAGGAGGAGGAGGAGGAGGAGGAGGAGCCGGAGGAGGGAGGAGGAGGGAGGAGGAGGAGGAGGAGGAGGAGGAGGAGGAGGAGGAGGAGGAGGAGGAGGAGGAGGAGGAGGAGGAGGAGGAGGAGGAGGATGAGGAACACCGCCTCTTGGGGCCCTCGTGGGACGCTCTTAGGTCGCTCTTGGGGGGCGCTTTTGGGACCGTCTTGGGGCCGTCTTGGGGCCCTTTTGTGGCCCTCTTGGGGCTCTCTTGGGGCCCTCTTGGGAGCCTTGTAAGGTCTCTGAGGGCCATCTCACAGGGCGTCGATCAGAGGAGGGGAGGTCCTAAAATTTCCCTCCCCCCTCCTGGGGCCATCGACCTAGACTCTCGGGCTGCTCTTGAGCGCTCTCGGAGCAGTCTGGGAGGCCTCTTGGGCCCATCTAGGGCCGCCTTGGGCCTTGGAGCCATCTTGAGGCCTCAAAAGTGCATCCAAAGCGAATCGGCGAGACGGCATAAATCATTGACTTCCTGAAGGTATTTGAAGTATTTGCGCCTCTTTGGGGGGGAGTGCTCTGGGCGCACTTGGAACCGTCTTGTGGCCTTTGTCGGGCCTCTCTGAGGTATGTCGGAGCTCTCTCGAACCAGCTTCGGCAAGGTTGAGCCGCCGTGGATGCCATCTTGGAGCATCGGAGGCCATGTTGGGCGAGAAGGGACCGCATGACACCTCGCGACCCCCCCCCCAAGCAAACCTCCGGGAGGGCAGGGGGAGGGTACCCTCTCCCGAAGGGAAGAGGGCTTTGCAAGAGGAAACACCACTAGACCACCTTAGCCCAAATGGCTGGTGGGATTAAATCGATGCGCCGATCCATACCAGCTGCTTCCGGCAACTCCGCCACCGTGCCAGCGCAGCATTCTGGATAGCAAAATACCGCCCAGGGGCCCCTGGGAATGGGGGGCTGCAGGTGACAGTCTGTGCCCCGCGGAGGAGGTGGTCCCTTAGAAAACCGCAGAAACCCTGCCAAACAGCACTTAGCATTCTTCAACGCTTCCACGTGCTGCAGGCATGTTGACGGATACAGTGGAGGCCCATGCCAAGAAACACCCTGCTCGCTTCCAGGGTGCCCTGGGTTTCTTGGGCTTCGATGGCTTGCGATTGACAGCGCGACGCTCCCGCACCAAAAAATCCATGGACGTCCTGGGGTCTCAGGGTCGGGCCTCTTGTGGAAGGTTGCTTGTGGAGTGGCCCTCCACTGTATTTCTGCTGAGATCGAGCGGTAAATCGGCGTCACCCCAGCATACTTATACTGCATATGCGTCGCCCCCTCAGGGGCGACGCGCGCACCGTGAACTCCTATAGTACATGCGTCGTAGCGAGCGCTTTCTGGCCACACCGCTCGGGAAACGATGTACTACAAAATGGGCATACTATATGTTCGGGTCGGACGCGCGCCTCCAAGGAGGACATATAGTATTAGTATGTCTCTGTGCGTCCCAGTAAATGTCGAGACCGATCGAGGGTGAGATCGGCGGATGCATAGTCAGGTCGAAGGCGCGTGGCCCGGGCCACGCCGCGCCGCGTCGGTCGCGCGCGCGAGGTGAAGGGCGAGGGCGCCAGGGCGAAGTGGCTCTCGGGGGCGACCAGGAGCCCCCCTTGCTGCCTGTGCCGATGAGGAGGATGAGGACGACAGGGTGGATGCCGACAGCGAGGAGGAGGAGGAGGAGGAGGGGGCGGAGGAGCAAGAGGCGCAGGAGGAGGAGGAGGAGAGGAGGAGGAGGAGGAGGAGGAGGGAGGAGGAGGAGGAGGAGGAGGAGGAGGAGGAAGGAGGAGGAGGAGGAGGAGGGAGGAGTAGGGCGGAGGAGAGGAGAGGAGGAGGCGGAGGAAGAGGATGATGATGATGAGGAGGAGGAAGAGTAGGAGGAGGAGAGGAGGAGGAGGAGGAGGAGGAGGAGGAGGAGGAGGAGGAGGAGGAGGAGGAGGAGGAGGAGGAGGAGGAGGAGGAGGAGGAGGAGGAGGAGGAGGAGGAGGAGGCGGTTACGGTTGCCGAGTGCCTGAAGGATTTCCCACACGCCCGCATTATAATTATAATGTCGAGTTGGATCCCATGCAGAGCTCTACCCCCGACGATCGATTCCCCTACCCACCTAGTGAAGGAGGAGGAGGAGGAGAAGGAGGAGAGTACCAGGATCACCGCCAAGGCGCAAGTCTCAAAGAGAGCAGGCGCAACCAGAGCAGTGGAAGCTCGGTTGCGCGGCCGAACACGTTCACACAAACATGGGAGCTGTCATGGCACGACGACATTAACACCAAGTATGTATTTCCGTGCGGCCAGACGGCCAACCAGGCTGAACGTTCACCCTATTTTAGCAGGCCCGAAGGCCGCGATCATGTCCGTCCGTGCAGCTTCAACTCAGACAACGACGACCCCCCGCCCACAAGGTGCCGACTCAAGCCTCTGCTCCAATGAGGCCTGGACCCTGGAGGAGGAGGAGGAGGAGGAAGCGAAAAAGGGGAAGGATGAAGAGGAGGAGGAGGAGGAGGAGGAGGAGGAGGAGGAGGAGGAGGAGGAGGAGGAGGAGGAGGAGGAGTGGGATGAGAAGGAGCAAAAGGAGCTGGAGGAGCTGGAGGAGCTGGAGGAGGAGGAGGAGGAGGAGGAGGAGGAGGAGGAGGAGGAGGAGGAGGAGGAGGAGGAGGAGGAAGGAGCTGGAGGGTCAGGCTGCTCCCCAGAGCGACCAGGAGCCCTCGGGCTTCCGCCGTCGGGCGCCGTCGGGTGCCGTGGCTTCGCCGAGGGGGCTGCTCCCGGCCCCCTTGCGGCGCGCGCTCGGCTGCGCGGGTGCTCCGCTGCTCCTCGGCGCCCGGAGGCAGCCTCTCGGCCCCAGTGGCCGTCGGGCGCGGCGCGGTCAGGGGCAACGATAGGGGGGGGGATTGGTATAGGGGGGGGTGCGTGCATCCACCCCCCGGGGGTTCGTGGTTTCAGGTTTTCGAGGGTTTCCGTTGGCTCTCGGAGGCTTTCCAGCCTCGAGACGCTCTCCGTCAGCTGCGCCTCGTCGAGGGCGTCCCGGGGGTGCCTGGATCGTCTCGAAAATCCGTCAGAGAGCCGAGTTCTGGCCCGGAAACCGCTTGGGGATGGGCTCAGGGGGGCATGCATCGACCCCGAGTCGCCCGTTGATCGCCGCGAGGGGCCCCGACCTGCGGATTCACTAGCGGGGCCCGTCGCCGATCCATCGGCGATGCATCGCCGATTCCAGGTCGCTGTCTCCCCCCCATCGGCGCCTCTCGCTCGGGATGAGCCTGCCAGCCTCGCCCGGGCGCCGCTGTGGCCTTCTCCGACGCCTCTGGCCCCCGCTGGGCCTCCAGGGGCCCCCCCAAGGGCCATGGCAGGCAGACCTTCGGGGCGGGTCCTGTGGCCTTGCTCGAGCGCCGCGTCCTGCGCTCGGGCGCTCTCCGACGCCCTCGGCCGCCGCCGGGCCTCCGGAGGCCTCCCGGGGGCCACGGCGGGCAGACCTCCTCGGGGTGCGGCCCGCCCTGGTCTCGCAGGGGGCTCGGCGTGCCGGGCGCTCCTCGTGCAGCTATACGCGCAGCTTGGGCCCCAGCGGGGCTCTGCTCCCCCTTCGAGCTGCATTCCCTCTCCTCCTCCTCGACGATGCTGCCTCCTCCGCCCTCGAGGGGGCATCCAGTGGCCCCTGGAGCCCAGTGGTTCCCCGCTCAGGCAGGGGAGAGCTCGTGCTTCGATTTCTTCTGTGCGCGTGGTGATGGAAATGCTACATAGCGAATGCCTTTCGGCCGGTGCCGCCGACCCTGAAGGGGGACGACGGCGACGAAGTCGACCACGATGACAACCACAACCACGACGTCAACAACGACGACGGCGGCGACGACGGCGACGACGACGACGACGACGACGACGGCGACGTTGACGACGACGACGGCGGCGACGACGGCGGCGGCGATGGCGACACGCGTTGTGATGAAAATGCTTTCTTTTGACAGTGCTGCGGCGATGGTGGCCATCGAGCAGACCCCCTTTAGAATCCGAAGACTCTGTGTGGGCCTGCTGGGCGGGCAGCCTCGGGCTCCCGAGCGGGGCGGTGGGTTCCCGGCCTATTTATTCTTAGTGCTATCGGGCTGCCTCTGGGAGTCGCACCGTGCAAGCACAGCATTCTGGGTGGCGACTGTTGGCGGCTGGGAGAGCCGTGAGGATGATGATGATGATGATGATGATGATGATGATGATGATGATGATGATGATGATGCTGATGATGCTGATGATGATGATGCTGATAATGGGCATGATGATGCTGATGATGATGATACTGATGATGATGCTGATGATGATGATGATGCTGATAATGGGCATGATGATGCTGATGATGATGATGATGATACTGACGAGGATGAGGACGCGGATGAGGATGAGTGTGAGTATGATGTTGATGATGATGATTATGTTGTTGTTGCTGATGATGGCGATGCTGATGATGGAGATGATGATGATGATGAAGATGATGAACCTGATGATGACGATGCTGATGACGATGATGACGATGATGGAACTGCTGCTGATGAAAATGATTACGATGATGATGGTGCTGATGATGATGTTGATGATGATGATGATGACGAGGATGACGATGATGCCGATGACGATGATAATGCTGCTGCTGCTGATGACGATGATGATGATGATGATGATGATGATGATGATGATGATGATGATGCTGGTGAAGGTGTATGATGACAATACTCATCCTGAGGACGGCGGCGACGACGACGACGATGATGATGCTGATGATGATGATGATCATGGTGCTAATGATGATGATGATGATGATGATGATGATGATGATGTGGATGGTGGTTACTGTGATGATGATGCTGATGATGCTGATGACGATTATGATGATGATGATGCTGATGATGATGATGATGCTCGTGATGACGACGATGCTGATGATGATTATGATGTTGATGATGATGCTGATGCTGATGATGATAATGATGACGCTGCTGCCACCAATGAGGATTGTGCTGCTGCCGACTATGCAGATGCTGCTGATGATGCTGCTGCTGATGATGATGATGATGATGATGATGACGGCGATGCTGATGATGCTGATGCTTATGCTGATGATGCTGATGCTGCTGATGCCGATGATGATATTGCTGCTGATGATGATGATGCTGTTGCTGCTGCTGCTGATGATGCTGATGATGCTGATGATGCTGATGATGCTGATGATAATGATGACGATGATGCTGCTGATGCTGATGATGATGATGATGATGATGATGATGGTGACGATGCTGCTGATGATGCTGATGATGCTGATGCTGCTCGTGATGATGTGGCTGCTGCAGATGATGATGCTGCTGCTGATGGTGATGGTGCTGCTGATGTTGATGCTGATGATGATAGCGATGATGATGATGCTGATGACGATGATGCTGATGATGCTGATGAAGCTGATGATGCTGATGCCAATGATGGTGATGGTTATGATGATGATGCTGCTGATGATGATGATGCTGATGATGATGCTGATTTTGATGCTGATTATGATGATGCTGCTGCTGATGATGATGATACTGCTGTTGCTGATCATGACGGTGATGATGATGATGATGATGATGATGATGATGATGATGATGATGATGATGATGATGATGATGATGATGATGATGATGATGATGATGATGATGATGATGATGATGATGATGATGATGATGATGATGATGATGATGATGATGATGATGATGATGATGATGATGATGATGATGATGATGATGATGATGATGATGATGATGATGATGATGATGATGATGATGATGATGATGATGATGATGATGATGATGATGATGATGATGATGATGATGATGATGATGATGATGATGATGATGATGATGATGATGATGATGATGATGATGATGATGATGATGATGATGATGATGATGATGATGATGATGATGATGATGATGATGATGATGATGATGATGATGATGATGATGATGATGATGATGATGATGATGATGATGATGATGATGATGATGATGATGATGATGATGATGATGATGATGATGATGATGATGATGATGATGATGATGATGATGATGATGATGATGATGATGATGATGATGATGATGATGGTGCTGATGCTGTTGATGATTCTTATTATTCTTATGGTTAGTCTTCTTCCTCCTCGTATTCTTCTTTTTTCCTTATTGTTATTTTTATCAGTATTAGTATTCGTAGTAGTGTTGCTTCGTGCCAATTATTTTTATGCTGATACTGACGTTGAGGAACAGGAGGAGGAGTAGGAGGAGGAGGAGGAGGATGATGAGAAGGAGGAGCAGAAGAAGGAGGAGCGGGAGGAGGAGGATGATGAGAAGGAGCAGCAGAAGAAGGAGGAGCGGGAGGAGGAGGAGGAGGAGGAGGAGGAGGAGGAGGAGGAGGAGGAGGAGGACGAGGAAGTCCGTCACATGTGGCACCTTCCGTTTTCAAGGTCTCATGGAATTCTTTGAGTTTTTCCTTGGGTTGTCTTTGCCTCCCAAGTCGCAGTCTTGGCGGTTCCTCGGGGCCCTCTTGGGCCCTCTCGGGGCCCTTACGCCATCTTGGGGCTGTCTTTGGCTGTCTTGGGGTCCTCTTTGCCGTGTGGTGGGTGTCTGGGGGCCGTCGTGGGACCGTTCTGGGCCGTCGAACGCCCTTCTCAGGCCGTCTTGGGTCACACGGGAGGCCCTCTTGGGCCGTCCTGGGGCCGTCTTGGATATCTCTTGGTCTTTTGGGCCCTCTTGGAGGCACCTTGGATCTTGGGCCGTCTTGCGGCCAGATTGGACCGCCTTGGGGCCATCTTGGGCCGTCTTCGAGGCATCTTGGGCCATCTTGGTGTCCTTGGTTGCCTGGACGGGCCGTCTTGGAAGCTAGGAACGCGGGCCCTCCGTTCCTCGACGGGGGATCGTGTCCTTGGGAGCCTGGGCCCATGGTTTTGTTACGGCGGATCGTGGCCTGAGGAGGGAGGCGAGGGAGGAGGTGGACGTGGAGGCGGAGGATTTGGAGGTGTGTCCTCTCGAGTCTCCGTTGGTACAACCGATACCTGCGAGCCGAAGGGGGGAGTAGCGGTACAGTAAAGAGTAGGAAGGGTACGGGGATAATTCGCAGGATGAGGAGGAGGAGGAGGAGGAGGAGGAGGAGGAGGAGGGGCCGGAGTCTGAGGCGGCAGCGCGCGCGCCGCCGAGGAGGTACTTCACCATCGACTTTGGCAGGGCGCGGGGGGGGGGCACTGGCCGCGGCAGCTTCGGCGACGCGGAGGCTCTGTTCGGCCCCGTTTCAGTCACCCCCCATCACCACCCGCTCGAAAGGGACGATATAGAGGAACGAAGAATGACACAAACATAAAAACTCAGAGGTCCGCGCGGCTTTCTCGGATCCGCGCTGGACCCTCCCGGCGGCGCCGCTGGCGCCGCCCCTGGGGCGCCGCCCCTGGCGCGCGCCAGGCAGGTGGGAAAGGCCGCCCCTGGCGCGCAAATTAGACCGCCTCGGCCCGAAAGGGCTGGTGGGACTATATAAAGTTTTGGTTCAGGCCGTGGCTCCATAGGGAGGGGGGTTCGGCGCCGATCCCAGAAATCCGCGCGGACCTCCGAGTTTTTGGGTCTGTGTCATTCTTCGTTGCCCATGGGTGAGGGCCTTCTCGGAAGGCTCGGGAGGCCTGGGGCCCTCTGGTCCTCTGGAAGCCGTGGGGATTCCCCGCAGATCCTTGGAGCACCTCGGGGCAGGGCGAAGAGGGGCCTGCCTGGCTACCTCCTGGCTGGCCACTCGGCGCCCGCCACCGCTTCGCCTGCGGCGCGCAGGCGGCTGTCGACAGTGCAGGCTCTTGCGCGAGCATGCCCTGCTTGCGGTCGGACCGAAGTATAAGATCGAGGTCGGTTCGGGGAGAATACCCACGTGATTTTGATGTTTGTCGGATGCTCTTGTGCATCCTGGGGGGGGGGTATCCTCGAATGTTCGTCAGTTTGGCCGGCGGAGGGCCTCATGTTCTTGAAGGATGCTCTTCTGTCCCAGGTCTGGCCGTAAGAGGTGGAGGGAGGGGAAAGAGGAGGACGAGCCGATCGTGTGCACCATCCCATGCTTCCAGCCCGCGGGATGAACGCTGCAGCGCGGCACAGGCGGAGGCGTTACCTCGATTGTGTGCATCCCGGGTGCGGTGAAGATGCCGTGATGCTCGCTGGCTGGTCGATATCACGCCGTGCACCCGTCCCCGAGGCGCCTGCTGCCACGCAGGCCAGTGGGTAGCGTTTCGTGGCCAGCCGACTGCGCTGCAGGCACCACGCGCGGGATGACAAAAAATCCGGGGCGCAGCCCGGGCACGCTCGGATCTTGTGGGCTGCAGCTGCTCCTCTTTTGGCCTCCCTGCCGCCGCTCCCGTGCAGTGCGCCCTCCGGCGGAGTGCTCGCCGACGCCTCGAGCGCTCGCTCTCACGGCATGGCCAGGATAACTGCAGAGTACAGTGCCGTTTTTGATACATGTTCCGCGTGCGGACCATGTATTAAAAATAAAGGGTCGATTAATCAATACAAGGATGAGTTTATGCATAACTTTATTCATAAATTAGTCCCATGTATTAGAAACTGCCCTGTACGAGGGAGGGGGCCACGCCGGACTCCACCTCCGAGGCGGGGCTTTATGCTCGACCCCCGCCCAGAGAATCCATTTCGGGGATCTCGGCGGGCGGTGGACATGGACATCTTCGGAGCCCCGGGGGCCAAACCATATCCATATCCGCCGCCCGCTGGAGCACCAGGGCGTCGGTTCCCGGGCGGTGGATCTGGAGGTATCCCCGCCTCGCACCGTCGGCTTCTCCCCGGGAGGGCGGGCCGACTGCGCGTGCACTTCGCTCGTCCGCGGACGGTTGCTCTCCCCTGCCGCCAGACCCCCCCCCCCGCCCCCCGGGCAGCGCCCGCGCGAGCACTGGCCGGGGGCCCCCTGGGCCCAGCGTGGAGGCGCCGCCTGTCCTGGTGGTCGAGGCCTCGAGAAGACGGCTCCCTCCTCCCTCCTTCCTCCCTCCTCCTCCTCCTCCTCCTCCTCCTCCTCCTCCTCCTCCTCCTCCTCCTCCTCCTCCTCCATCCTCCATCCTCCATCCTCCTCCCTCCCTCCCTCCTCCCTCCTTCCTCCTCCCTCCTTCCTCACCTTTTTTCCTGTGCAAGCTGGCACGACGCACCCTCGCGCGCAGCCGGCAGCCGGCGGCCCTCGCGGCGGTGGTCTGCACACCACGATCCTGGTGCCCGAGTCCAGCGCAGAGGGCTTCGGCACGGTGATGGCCAAGAGCGGAGCTGATACGACCGCGAGAGCAAGGCGCTCCAAGGCAGGCCAGGGCGTGGACTTCAAGGCTCGAGGCGCCCCTCACATTCACTGCTTCCTGGCGCCGCTTCACCACATCATCGAGGTCCATGCACTGGGAGAGACGGTCCTCCACTGCCGCTACACGATGGCGCGGAACGACACAGAGGAGAAGCCTGGAGTTCTCTCGATGGGAGGCGTTCGCCACAGACGGGAACAGTCTTCGAGCACATGTGCACATTCATGATCACGACAGGGAAATGCCAGAAAATGATTGGTCCAGCGCCACGGGGACCATTGAAGAGAGGCCTCGCAGCGGAGGTGGAGCAGGGCAAGGGGAACGGCAACGGCAGCAGGCGGGGCCAGTGATCGTTCCCAGGTCCCAGAACGCCAGGCTTTCAGACCTCATCTCGCGAGGTATTGTGTCTCATGATATGTTGCAGCCTCGTGCAGCATCCAGCACGTGTGTTGAAGAACAGCTGCAGGTAGACAGTATCGCTCCGTCTTCCTTCTCCTCTCTTCCATAGTTTCCTGTCATTGTGCTGCCGCCCGCGCCGAAACCGAAGGGTCGGGGCAGAGGCCGCGGTTGCAGGCGCGAAGCATGCCGCCGCCCGCGCCCCGAGGCAAAGGCCGAAGGAAGTGGCGCGCGATTGATCGCAGGGAGGGAGCGGGCCGGGGGCGGGGGCGGAGGCGTGTTCTGGAGGTGGGAAGTGATGCGGTTGGTCCTCAATGAGCGGCACCCACTGCCCAGGCTGCGCGCCAACACGGGGGGGCACCGCTCGGGGCAGCGCGGCTGTTGGCCGATCGGCCAATGGGTCGCTTTCCTATTCCGTCAGTGTGGCAGACAGTCCGAGAGACCGACGCTCATAGAGATTTTAATGCCATGGTAGCGATCGACCTCCCAGAGCAGTACTCAGTACTCTGTACTCAGTCCTCCTCCTGCTTTCACCCTTGCGCCCCTTCTCCTCCCACCCCTCTCCACGTCCTCGTCTGGTGTCGCGGCTCTTCTCCTGCTCCTCCGCTTCTTCCTCGGCCTGATGCTCCTCTTTCGTCTCTCTCTCCTTCCTCCGCCGGCGTCGATGCACCGGCGAGGCGGCGCAATCTTGCGACCCCAGTTGCTCGGACCCCCTTTGGGCGGCTTCCTTTCCAACTTTCAACCCTCCTCCCCTCCCGCCCTCCCCCTTCCGATCCTCTCCTCCCCATCCAATCCTCCTCCCGACCTCCAGTCCTGCCTCCTCCTCTCCTCCCCTCCCGCCCTTCCTCCCTCCCTCCGTCCCTCCCTCCCCCTGTGCACGCTTCTTTGCGCGCGCGGGGGAAACGTGCCCTGGCTTTTCAAACGCAGCGTGAACCTGCCAGCGCTCGTTAGTTCACTTGACAAAAAAGGTGTGAACTTCACATTCATCTCCCTTCTCTGTTGCTGGGGATGCCTGCCCTGGATCAATAAAGTGCTGCCGCGCCGTGCGGCCGGCACAATGCAATTCCTGACGGGCGTAAGGTCCACGGCCATGCCACCCGCGTTGTAAATATCTAATGGCCCTCGGCCCATCCCGCCACAGTGCTTGGGTTGTGGGCACGAAACGAATTTGATATTGGTTGGGATTTCGTGTGAGGCCTCTTGTGGGCCTCTTGGGCAGTTTCGGCGCCTCTTTGGGGACGTTTCTGGGCCCCATCGGGGCCTCTTTTGGGCCTCTGTGGGCCTCGTGGGGCCCTTCGGCGGCCTTTTAGCGGTCTCTTGGGGGCCTCGTGGGGCCTCCTGGGCGCCTATTGGGGCCTCCAGGGGGCCTCTTGGGACAGAAAGTTAGGATTTTTGGATGGATGAATTATGAGGATGAGGATGCTGATGGTGACGATGGTGATGATGAGAATAATGATAAATACGATGATGATGATGATGGTGATCATGCTGATTATGATGAGGATGATAATGAGGACGATGATGATGCTGATGCTGATGACGATGATGATGATGGTGGTGGTGCTGGTGGTGATGATGTTGGTGATTATCTGATGATGATGACGATGGCGAAGACGATGCTGATGATGATGACGATGATGCTGCTGTTGTTGATGGTGGTGACGATGGTGACGATGGTGATGGTGATGATGATGATGATGGTGATGATGATGAGGATGATGATGGTGATAGTGATGGTGATGGTGATGATGATGGTGATGGTGATGCTAATGATGCTGATGATGCTGATGATGCTGATGATGCTGATGCTGATGATGATGACGATGATTGTGATGAGGATGGCGATGCTGATGCTGATGATGATGCTGATGGTGGTTGTGATGATGCTGATGCTGCTGATGATGATTATGATGTTGATGATGATTCTGATGCTGATGGTGATGCTGGTGGTGATGATGATGATGCTGATGATGCTGACGATGCCGATGATGATGATGGTGATGGTGCTGATGCTGCTGATGATGATGATGACGATGATTATGCTGATGGTGATTATGGTGATGATGATAACGATGCTGATGATGCTGATGATGATGATGCTGATGCTACTGATGACGATGCTGATGCTGATGATGATGATGCTGCTGATGCTGATTCTGATGATGATAACGATGATGATGAGTATGGTGATGATGCTTATGCTGATGTTGATGCTGCTGCGGCTGATGATGATGACGATGGTGATGGTGATGGTGCTGATGACGATGATGATGATGCTGATGATGATGATGGCTTTGATGATGATGATGATTACGACGACGATGATGATGAGGATGATGAGGATGCTGATGATGATGCTGCTGCTGATGATGATGATGTGGATGCTGCTGATGCTGATGCTGATGCTGCTGGTGATGATGATGATGATGATGAGGACGATGCTGTTGCTGCGGATGCTGATGATGACGAGGCTGATGATGATGATGATGATGATGATGATGACGATGATGATGATGATGATGATGATGATGCTGCTGATGATGATGATGATGGTGGTGGTGGTGGTGATGATGATGATGATGATGATGATGATGATGGTGATGATGATGATGATGA